TACTGTATAAAAGCCTTAAGTTTCTAAACAAAATGAAAAAGAGCAATCTATTATCTTTTTTGGATTACATTAATCTGATCAATCTCATTTCAATGTTGTTGCAGTGACATCAAGTAGCCATGTTATTTCCACCCAGTCCGTTAGTGGCACCGGTGCAACCGTCACAGGTAGGGCTTTGTTACTGGACAATCTTCAGTGTTTTTGTTTTAATTTAACGTCAACGATCTGTAATATCCACTTGTTTTACCAATATTTTACTTTACCCTTAGGTCTTGCACTTTGCGACCACACCTTTGATATCATCTGTGCCAAGATCTCTACCGACTGGAGAGCTGTATGTATCGCCCTGGGTTGCGATTCTGACATGATCACTAAGGTCGTCTCTGAGTGTGGCTCGGACGACCACTTGTGCTGCGGCACTATGCTCAAGCTTTGGCGTGATACCTGGCATGTGGACTACTCCGACAAGGTCGACCATCTCTGCACTGCCTTGCGTACATGCGGCTACACAGACTGCGCCACCACTGTGTACGCAAAGTACCGTACTGAACACAGCGTGGCTCTGTGCGATGGCCAGATTGACATCTACTCCAAGACCCTGAGTCACGATTGGAAGGCATTCTGTCATGCCCTCGACTGCAGTGATGACTTCATCGCTAAAATACTGGTGGAGTGTGGCCACGACGACTACCTGTGCTGTGGTACGGCTATCAAGACCTGGCGTGACACTGTGGACTGCAGCTATGCCGACAAGATCGACTACTTCTGCAATGCCTGTTACAGCTGTGGCTTCGACGACATTGCTGTGGACTGTAGAGATCATTACAGGAATGAGATATTTGGTGAATATTTTGGTTTACGTTCATAGTCCTAGCAAATTATTGTTTATAGTTTAACTCTGTTTGAAGTATGTAGTCGGAATTTCCAAATGTTTGAATTATTTTATGCTGACAATAGTTGATACCTTTTATTGCAGTTACTGGCAGCTCTAGCGCTCTTGTGACTGGTGGTTCATCTGGCCACTTTGTTACTGGAGGTGTTTTGGTGACAGGTTGGTGGATTTCCTTCCATTGTCCTTTACCAATTCGTCCGTGTCCCTATTGAGAAACCGTCATGAAAAACCTACAGATTTTGTTTCGAAGACACGGTCCGCTCTTTGCCCATTGTCTCAATAGAAACACTACAGCTAATTCATACTATTTACGCTTTGTAGGATTGGCTCTATGTGACGACACCCTCCGTGTCATCTGTCACAAGATCGATGACTGGAAGCTGGTCTGCACACACCTTGGCTGTGACGACGCATTTGTTTACAAAATCCAAGACCAATACCAGGACGATACCTACCTGTGCTGCTTCCATGCTCTACAGACATGGCGCGACACCTTTGACATCAGTTATGACGACAAAGTCAACATCCTGTGCCATACTCTACGCACTTGCAACTATGCTAGTTGTGCCTATACCGTTTCCAACAAATATCGCACAGAAAATGGCTTTGCCTTGTGTGATAACCAGATCAATATTTACAGCCATAAACTAGCAGATAACTGGAAGTATTTCTGCAAAGTGTTGGGATGTGATGATGACTTTGTTACAAAGACTGAGTTGGATTACGGAAGCGACAACTACTTGTGCATCAGCACCGCTCTGAAGCACTGGCGTGACACCGTTGACTGCAGCTACGCTGACAAGATTGACCTCTTCTGCCATGCTTGCGATGCTTGTGACTTCCACAACATTGCAGTAGACTGCAGAACGAACTTCAATAAGGAAGCTTGTGGTACAGTTTATTTTAGACATGTCGAATTTGTCGAGAGTGCTAACGTTTATAATGATTATATGCCCTTGTTTTTTATTCAGTATGTTTTCAGTATGTTCCAACACATACCATCGCCTTTCCAGGATTGGCCCTGTGCGATGACACACTTCGCCTTATTTGCGGCAAGATCGGAGACTGGAAGGTTGTCTGCACAACACTTGGCTGTGACGACGCCTTCATCCACAAGTTCCAGGATCAGTACCATGACGACACTTTCCTCTGCTGCTACCATGCCCTCAAGACATGGCGCGACACCTTTGATGCTACCTATGACGACAAGGTCAACATATTGTGCCAGACCCTGCGTACCTGTGGTTACACAGATTGCGCTGGAATCGTCGACGACAAGCGCCGCACCGAATGCAGCGTCGTGTTCTGCGATAGTCAGATCGATATTTACAGCAAGAAGCTGAGCGCTGACTGGAAGGCGTTCTGCACAGCTTTAGGCTGCGATTACGACTTCATCACCAAAATCGAGCAGGACTGTGGCCATGACAAATACCTGTGCATCAGCACTGCCCTCAAGCACTGGCGTGACACGGTCGACTGCAGCTATATGGACAAGATCGACCTCTTCTGCCATGCTTGCGACACCTGTGGTTACCACGATATCGCAGTGGACTGCAGAGACAACTTCCGCCATGAAGTCTACGGTAAGTATGCGTGCAATACTGTATAAAAGCCTTAAGTTTCTAAACAAAATGAAAAAGAGCAATCTATTATCTTTTTTGGATTACATTAATCTGATCAATCTCATTTCAATGTTGTTGCAGTGACATCAAGTAGCCATGTTATTTCCACCCAGTCCGTTAGTGGCACCGGTGCAACCGTCACAGGTAGGGCTTTGTTACTGGACAATCTTCAGTGTTTTTGTTTTAATTTAACGTCAACGATCTGTAATATCCACTTGTTTTACCAATATTTTACTTTACCCTTAGGTCTTGCACTTTGCGACCACACCTTTGATATCATCTGTGCCAAGATCTCTACCGACTGGAGAGCTGTATGTATCGCCCTGGGTTGCGATTCTGACATGATCACTAAGGTCGTCTCTGAGTGTGGCTCGGACGACCACTTGTGCTGCGGCACTATGCTCAAGCTTTGGCGTGACACCTGGCATGTGGACTACTCCGACAAGGTCGACCATCTCTGCACTGCCTTGCGTACATGCGGCTACACAGACTGTGCCACCACTGTGTACGCAAAGTACCGTACCGAGAACAGCGTGGCTCTGTGCGATGGCCAGATTGACATCTACTCCAAGACCCTGAGTCACGATTGGAAGGCATTCTGTCATGCCCTCGATTGCAGTGACGACTTCATCACTAAGATAGTGGTGGAGTGTGGCCACGACGACTACTTGTGCTGCGGTACGGCTATCAAGACCTGGCGTGACACTGTGGACTGCAGCTACGCTGACAAGATTGACTATTTCTGCAATGCCTGTTACAGCTGTGGCTTTACGGACATTGCTGTAGACTGTAGAGATCATTACCGCAACGAGATATTTGGTAAGTATTTCAGAAATATTTAGAACAGGCAGACAATACATAGTATATAAGACTATTCCATAAATCCATGTCCTTGGTGGTATTGTTTGTACTTTAATTACAATGATTTCGATACTTTTTGAAATCTTCTTATTTTACTTTTTCATTCTTCGGTTCACAGTTACTGGCGGATCCAGCAGCTTTTTGACCGCAGGAACGTCCGGTCAATTCGTCAGTGGAGGCGTTTTGGTGACAGGTTAGGCAACAAATTACATCAAATGACACATGCTAGTATGGCTGTACATTGTTTTAGAGCAATACTTAAAGCAATCTTATTTGTATTTAGATGTAAATCACTAAATAAACTTGTTTTGCTTTTTCTGAATTCCAGGGTTGGCACTGTGTGATGACACCCTTCGTGTAATCTGTGACAAGATTGCAAATTGGAAGCTGGTGTGCAAACACCTGGGCTGTGACGATGCATTTGTCTACAAGATCCAAGATCAGTACCAAGACGACATCTATTTATGTTGCTTCCACGCCTTAAAGACATGGCGTGATACCTTTGACATCA